GGCAACATCCAGGCAGGCGGTGAGCCTGCTTGTCCCGCCACAGGCCATGCGCAGGCAATGACGGCCTTCTTGAAGGCCAAGTTGCTCCACAGGTACTCTATGGCCCCCTGCCAAGGCAGTGGGTGCATATTCTCCACATAGAAGTGTCCACAACCAGGGAGGAGAAGCACTATCGAGTTGGCTTCCCCTGCATCGGCGCTTGGCCGGGATACAACAAAGGGGAGGGTTGAACTGCCATGGCTCGCGGTGATCCAAGTGTTTTCACGCCCAGCTACGAGCGGAGGGGCGACCAATGGAGGAGGCTGCAGGGTCTCCAGGCCAAGGGGCTCTTGCAATGCCATGGCGAAGAGGGGGCAGCCCACCCAATTGATGGGGCAAGGTAGAGGAAGACTGGGCAGTCTTGCCTGAGAGCCGTGCCGTCCAGCGCAAAGAATGTCACACAACGACAAGCTTGCTCCCAACTTCCCCTGACTCAGCTCCCTTCAGTTGGAGACTACATCAGCAGTAAAACATGATCAATGGCTACAACTGTCCAAATCGGTCAAGACAACAGCATGACATTACAGGGATGCCGCATGGCCATGGATAACGACAGATGTACTAGGCCGCCGTTTGTTCCGTATTCGCACAAGGTCAGCATTAGATGTCGCTATCCGAATGCCGATTGTCCTCAAGCAAATGCATGGTCTCGTCATCTAAATGCTCGAGAAATACGTTCATCGAGGAAGCACGCTACCCACTCCAGAATGACGGCATTATCATTGGGGACAGCATCGGACATCGCCTGCAAAAGCAAATTGACTTTGTCGGCAGTGAAACGCCATGCAAGCAAAAGATGCTGCTCCAAATGTGCTTTTATGAGGTAAATTGGAAAATCTTCCTGGCTATGCACAATGATTGGCCTGGCCCAGGCTAAAAGGGCATTCTGCTGTGGTCCAGGCGGACGTCTGAACATAGCCAGTAACGCCCCGTACTCCTGGGCAAGCTCATTCCTCATATCCTGCGAAAGATCTCGAAGGTGGTGTGCAAGCCAGGCACGATGACCTCCAACAGAGTGCGCGAGTTCGGCCGCAGCAACCATGGCGAGGGTCCGTTGATTAGGACGTCCTTGGGCTGCCGAGGCATCGCGGATTCCTTGCAGTACGAGGAGCTTGGTGAGCAATATCCAGCCAGCACTACAAGTGTGGCCGTGGCCTTCGAGAATGGGCTCGCTGGAAAAAATTTCCGGGTGTTCGTAAGGGTAACATCTTTCCCAGTCACTGTCGCCATCTCCATTGACAGCAGTGTAAAGGCTGCCACCGATGACCAACGAAGCAGCCATGCCAGGCAGTTAGTTTGAGGAGGGCAAGCGGGCGCCTGCTCCTGTGAGCCCTGGCGGCACAGAAAAAGGGGGCAAGTTAGCGGGTAATACCCTCACTCCTTTATATTCGCGGCTAAGACGGCTAGGAGCCACAGGCACAAACTGGCAATCCATGCGGGGGACCAGGGCGTGTGAGTGCGGGCGCACTCACGTACCCAACATCAAATCACTCTCGCACCCTCACAAGATTCTCCTCAGGTTACTCGGGAGCAAGGGAGCAGCCCGAACGGGAGCTCCTAAGCCGCTTCACCAGGCCCCTGCTCGGAAGTTGCGGTGAGGGGTCACTGCTCGCCAACCTTGTACAGAGAACGTAAATGGATAAACTGCCTTGAGAAGAGAGGCAGGTTCCTACACCGCCGTGTGAGTGCGGGCGCACTCACGTGGCATGAGCAACTCAACTATCCTCCTCCACTTGCCTAGTGACTGGGGTCCTAGCCTGGCTAGAGGAAGATGAGAGTATAGCATTGTTTCGCATTCGCGCGACACCCAAGTCCATCAATTCCGTGACATAAAGCTGCAGTTTGAGATGGGTGCAGTTCACACGCACGACGGGCACAACGCGCTGTGTACTGGCGAAGGTTGACGTAGATGTCACAAAGCGCCTGCGCGATGCCCAAGCCCCGATGATACCTCCCCAGTTCTATAAACTAGTTGTGCTTGCTAGCGGTATAGCCGGAGGCTTCAAAAGGCTGCGAGCTTCGCTCCACGCTTTGTTTTCTCAGGAGTGCCGGAAATCCTCACCAACATCCACTCGAGGAAACAGCTAACGATGCACAAAGCAGGTTGATGGGTGGGACCAAGTTACCCCACCCATGACAGACCGAAGCAACACTTTGACCAACACGAGAAAAGGTAGGTGAAAAACACGAAGGTTGACACCATTTCGCTCCGGTCATTCTCAAGAAACTGCAAAGCAAGATGTGGCCTGTACGGAGAAAACTGACACCAGACAGCTTTTTCAGCCGCCCATACGAAAACGTGACTGTGCAAATGTGAACCAAGAAGCCCAGATGGGCTTGCTGCAAAAGAGATGCCATACAAGTGAGACTACCTGCAGTACAGGTGCTGTGCTACGGCCCGCCCCGAGAGCCCACTTTCTTGTAACGAGGTCTTGAATGTTCTTCTGGCCAGTGCCGGTGAGACAGAGAACCCCAAAAATTGGGGTGGGTGGGTGAGGAAACTTGACTTTCTCGCTAGCAAGCACCACTCTAGAGCCAAAAATGTCGCACGAACATAGTTTATAAAACATACATGAACAAGTACATGATACGTTCTATAAACTAGTTGTGCTTGCTAGCGGTATAGCCGGAGGCTTCAAAAGGCTGCGAGCTTCGCTCCACGCTTTGTTTTCTCAGGAGTGCCGGAAATCCTCACCAACATCCACTCGAGGAAACAGCTAACGATGCACAAAGCAGGTTGATGGGTGGGACCAAGTTACCCCAAAGTAAACCACCCAGCAACCTCGCCCCGGAGAAAACCCCAAAGCTAAGTGAGGTTGTTCGGCACTCCCCTGCTCCGCACAGACCATGGAAGGTGAGCCCCTTCGGGGGAGACAGAAATCTTTGGACGAGGCAACCAAAGGGCCTCGAGTGACAGCCGCACTCTGTCCTTCTCAAGGCAGTCAGGGGGAACCTCATATTCAGCAGGGCGAGACAAGGCATCAGCCTTGACATTGCGTTCCCCGGAAATGTGTGACACATCCAGCGTTGTTCTATGTACAGCTGCCAGCAAAGAGATCCTTTCTAGGAAAAAACAGAGAGGCCGAGCGGTGGAGAAGGAAGCGTTCACACCTGCTTCTGCACCTGTGTTGTCTGACGCGGAACGTAGCTGCAAGGGGATTCTGGCGCAAGGTAAAAGAGAAGATGTTGCCAAGATCAGCGCTCCCTGGGCGAGCGCTTCATAGCAAGCAATATCAAGCTGCATGTCTGCTTGCACGGGAATCTCAAGGGCCCGGAAGGCACTGTAGGGAAAACTTTCGCGAAACCAACGCTGGCCTATCATGGGGTGAGAAACGTACCCACCAATGCAGCACATCGAGCCATGTGCACTTGCATCTGCTCTTGCCTCAAAGGATGCATTGCCTAAGGGGCGCATGCTGCAGAATGGGCACATATGCAAAAGCCAGTGTTCAAACAAACCCAAAATGCGCACTGATTCGGGGCTCAATTTTCTCTTCGAACTGGATTGACTTGACACGCGCATCCAAACCCGCCTGTCTGTAATGCGCACTCGATCCAAGTCAGACAAAGATGACAAATCCTGATGACGGACTGACAAAAGTGTGCTGTGGAGCGGAATTGCTGTACCTGGCGGGACCGACTTGAATTGCAAGGAATCCGTCAAGTGGTGACGAAGCTGTGGCCAAACATCTGGGGCCACCGAGTAGTTGGTAGCAGCCGGGCTGAAAAGATCATGATAGAAGGTGTACAGAAGCGACTTCATTGTCGGGAAAAGGTGCGCCGCCCAAAGAGCAAGCCCGACAAACCTCTCCAAATCCTTACGTGAAATTTTTGGATTACGCTGAAGATCTTGAACCATCCCCAAAAATTTTAACCTTTTCTCCTCTGCAAGTGACACTACCCCGGAGGTGTAGCAGAAACACCACCCTATCCAATGAACTCGAGAGCTGACTTGAAGTTTCTTCCAACTCAAAGGTACCCCCAGTACCTGGAAGAAGAGGCAGATCATCGCCCCTGTTGCTGGCAAAACGGCTTCCGCCTGAGAGAATAAGTAGTCGTCCACAAACAAGTGGCCTGCATGGCTGAACCAAATCAAGATGTGCAACAACCGAAGCAGGCAGGAGCCTAAACGCCCCCACCAATGCTGTGCAAAGACCGCCCCGAATGGGGCCACGCGATAGAAGTACAAAGAATCTGCAAAAGCGAAACCTAGGAGACCCTGCTCGGACTCCTTGACGACACATCTTTTGTGAGCACTTTTGACATCAAGAGATATGGCAGCTTGCCGCGAGCGGGTGCCCCGAAGGGGGAAACAGTGCATCACGTCCCTAACTGATGGCATATGCTGGACTTCTGGAACGCTGCAACTTGCATTCGTGCCACACACTGAATTATCTAAGACCAACCTTTCCGAGCGATTTGGCGCACGGACCACGGAGAGCTTTCCTATTGCCAGTGTACCCGGCCATTTTTCCTTAGCTGCCTCAATGTCGCCATCAAACTTGAAGCAGAAGCCCTGATCAAGTTCCTCCTGAAGCAAGGCTTGAGTCACAGACAAATCAACTGAGGCCGAGCGCCAATTCTGCATGTGGATGGACAGTGATACATCCTCAAGGTTCTCTTTTTGATTCGGCCAAAAACAATTTGACACTGGGATATCGTTGTTGTACCCCGTGGGGACGCCTTGCAAAAGGGATTTGCAAAGACTCACATCTGGATCACCACAAAAACAGGCAAGTGCCTCAAGCGCATGCAGATGCAAGGGTTGATGCTCACGGACCTTCCATATATTTGCATCTGTCGCCACACCTAAGCAGGAGAAGAATTCTTTGCGCGCATCTTCCACCTCCGACGCGGTGAAAAGGGGTTCAGGACTAGGCCAAGTGGCTTTAGCAAGCAGGCGTTTGGGGCCCTGCATATCACAAACTTTCCCCAAAAGGTATGTCCGAAGATTTTTAAGCTTATCCTGGCACAATGGGGTGCTCCAATCCCCACAAGAGTGGCGACCTGCCCCATCGTGGATTACCCACGGTCCAACATCCAGGGCCTTGACAGGTACTAAAGCCGACGCTGTGGCAAGAGTGTGTTGAATCGGTGCACCTGCAAGAAGCGGCCTGATGTGCAACGCGAATTCTTCAGCCAGGCATTGAGGGTACTTAGCCGTCTTACGACTTTTGAACGAACCATCACTCTCACGTCCCTGCACGGACTCGTGTGCATTGCGTCCGTGTTGACACGTCTGCCCCATCACGGACAGGGCTTGAAAGCTCGATGCAAACAACCAATTTTTTGCCCAGTTCTCCCCAAATGCGCAGGCCGGGAGGACGATGAGGGCTGTGGACCCACAGTGCAACCAGCCTTGAACGCACGATTCGTCCCAGGACATAGCACCTGAGGGTTGCTCCAAATGGCCATGGCCCCCGGCCCCATGGACAACTTGAAGACATTTGCACGCCCTGAAAAGCATCTCGTGACTTGTTTGTATACGAGCCTGGGCTGATGGGGGTAGGTTCTCCAGGCCCCCTAGCTGGTTTGGTGTGCGGATGGCAAAGGGCGGACCGGGAGTATTCTGAGCAGCAGGGGGATGCCGCACAATACCCCACAATTCCTGAGCCACAAATGAACAAGAGCTGCTCGAAAAAGGTATTATCGAGAATGTCCATGCTGCTATCCAACAGGATATCAACTGCAAGTGTTGGGAAACCTAACTCCTGCACCGCTGATGAGAGAGGCTTCTCCGCGCCCGAACAAATGTCCAGAAAGATCCTTGAAGACTGCTGCAGCGCTGGTTGAACTATGGCAGGTGAGGACGGTGGTGGGCGAGGTATTTGGGGCTGCAAGATCAAGCGGTGGTGAGCAAACCCTTTTGGAGAAGGCTTTCCCCAATTAACCCCCGAGCTAGGAACTGCCTGCTGAGTAGGGGGGCAAGGTTCGGGTGTAGGAACCGGTGCTGGGGGCATGGTCCGTGGCTGGGGCCAAGGGAACCCCAAATCCCTAAGTGTATCACCTGACACGCCTGGGAGGGTGAAGGCCGTCAGCACCCATCGATCGCCAAGCCATGGTTGGGTGCAATGCCAAAGGTGCACGGGGAACTTAAATGGCGCCTGATGCGTTTTGACGATCTTGCCAGGGAGAGTCACCCCAAGCTTGGGGATGAACTGCGGCACAGTGCCTGCTTGATCCTCAACCCAAAGGCCTCCATCCGAGTACGAACCTATACCCACTGTCAAATTTGACGACCCCGGCAAATTTGCTGTGTCCTTGTGCGGGGACGTCAAGATGTTCCTGCTGACACACAAGGCATTCCAAGTCTCACCTGGGAACAGTTGGCACAGGAAACCATTAAGGCTTGCACACAGTTGTGGAAGTGCATCTGTGACTGATGAGCGGGCAGAAGGGTTCCCTAGGCGCACCCCAAAGTTCCAGTATCCTGATTCCCCCGGAGCCGCTGAAGTAACGCTCCTGGCGGGAAGCACGCGTGGGGGCCAAGAGGCTGAAAGTAATGCCTGAAGACAGGACTTAAAATCGTGTATGCATGAAGAACTTTCTTCTGCGACATGTGTAACACCCACCTGCCCGGGTGTTACTGCACCCCTGGAACGACCAGGTGTGTTGCACACGACACCACCCAACATGGGCTGTGAAGGGATGTTGTCCTGAGGACATTGCAGTGCTGGCGACGACACAGGCCCAGCATTTTTCTCCAACAAGGAGACCGGTTTTGGAATCACATTTACAGGCTCGGCTGGCCGAGCTGCCGGCTGGATATCACACCCAGCAACACGACTTGCACCTGCCTGGTGCATTGCTGAATGAGGCTGTTGAGGTGATACTGACATACAAGGTGACGAAGGGTAAGACTGAACTGGCTCAGTGTGAGCGTGCAAAGGATGCGGGGCATCTGGGGGTGATACCTCTGTAGACAGCGAATCTGAATTCGGGAATTTCTTCCACGGCACAAAGGTAGGTTCGAATCAGTGAGGCGTCTGCTCATGCTGCGAGGCTGTGTGCGACTTGCTCCCGCACGCTGATCCATCCTGCTTGGGGTATGCACATGCATGAACAAAGGGGCAGGAGCCTCCCCTTGTGCAGCGGCCAATCTGCCACTGGACACACAACCCTTTCTTCTCAGATCCCACTTGGATCTCTTTCACGAAGGTGATGTGCCTCCCTGGAGCGCCCTTGGGCTTACCGCCTTTTTCCTTGCCACGTCCCTTGCCCAGGCCTTTCCATTGACCAACCTGCTTGCCCTTGCCTTTGAGATCAGGGCCGCGGGGGATGAACAAGGCTTTCGGACGAGCCTGCAGCAAAGTACTGAGCTCACCTCTGATTTCAGTGAACTCATGCAACGCGTCATTCAAGCTCCAAGCTTTCTCACTGACTAAAGAATGGATGCTCTGCCAAATCCGACAATCTGCCTGTTGCGCTTCTAGAATTGTCGGTGCACGCAGTCCTGATGCTGGGTCGAAACGCTGGGACACGAGCTGGACAAACTTGCAGCTATAGGCTTTGAGGCGGGCAAGGTGAGCTGAGCCAACCATGGCTAACGCAACGTCATGCACTGCCAAGATCCGCTGGATCCCACTGATCCCCATATTGGAATCGGTCACTTCGATTGTAGGCGGATCATCTAGGAGCAAGCTGGAAAGACCCAGCATTTCGAGCTTGGGCTGTTTGTGGGGTCGGGCAATCAACAACTCCGAAGCTTTCTCTTCCGTCATGCGATGTTTCCAAGCTATCCATTTATACTCCGACCGTGCCTCTTGATGGGCTGCGAGGGAAATCAGCCTCAAAGAGGGTAGAGTAGATGGATTCAAGACCTCACTTGGGTAATTTGCAAGGAATTGGCGCTTCATGTCGGACAGCTTCGTGGATGCAATTTTGGGAGCAAAACTCTCTACCCATGTCTCCAAAGTGGGATCTGCATTGACTGGGGCCGGCGAAACACTAGAGGAACTGGATGCTTGCATGCCCGCCCACGCTGCTTTGATCTGGGCAATCTGCAACCGAGACAAAACCTGACCTGGGAAGATCTCGGGGATGGCTCCCTCAACTTCTGCCTGGGTTTCAACGACGTGTTTGAAAGCCGAGGCTGTCCAGCCCCCTTCCGTTGCCACTTTGATGACCTCTGCTGCTAGGCCTTCCTTCGCCAGTGCACTCTCTAGCTCGGATTCAGCCATGTCAAGCAAAGATAACGCAGGGCTAATGTTGGTATGCAGCGCTAGAACAATTCTTAATACCTGGACAGGATGAGTCAGCTTTGTTCTCGTGAGCTAGATCAACATGCTAAGCCACATGTCTAAAATGTACGTAGCTTCTAGGGCGTCGCCTGACCACCACGTGAAACCCTTGCAAGACGCAACGACCCTAAAGATCTTTCCCTGTGGAATTTGCTGAACCATTCGAGTGCCTGTCTGCAGAAACGCCAAGAAGCATGTCAAGATCATATCAGCAATCTAACCCTTGGTGGACATGTGCAACATGACGGCCTGATGGGTCACTGATGCATACGCAGAACAACAACACACTTTTCTGACACGAACATTGAAGCTCACTCCTCTGAGAAACTAGATAAAGCTGCCAAGCATGCACCACGTCTGCACAACCGACACGAAGATGGCACTGATGTGTGGATCATGAGCCGATCGGCCGGAAGAGTGGCACCACACTTTGCACGCATATATGTGCCATTGACAAGTGTGCCTGATAAAGCATCTGCAGGGCAGAGCACATGCAACACCGCGGTGCAGGAGCCCAGCAAGAATTCATCGGGCTCACCTAAATTGTGCTCCTCGGCTGGGGGTGCCGAAGGTTCCTCCTCGCTCTCATCTGAAGATCCTGGGTCAGAGTGATACACGAGATCTTTGTCCAGCGCCTCTGTGTCTGGATCAGGGGTGACTAATTGATTTTCTGCGACCTCCCAACTCCCATTACTGCTCTGAAGTAAATCATCACTGCCATCAAGTTGAAACGAGAACCACTGGAAGGGTTCAAACTCGTAGTCCTTAGAGAAAGCTTCCGGTGGAACATACGCTGGCGTCAAGGGCTGCTGCCCCCCTCTGTGCTGGGGGACCAAAAATCGGAAGCCTGTGCGAATGCTATCACGAATGCAAGTTTGGCACCGAAGCATGCCATGAACATCGTCACGGGAATAAAGAGCGGAGCTGCTTATGCGGTGGTGCCCTTGACGTTTCCTATCAACCTCATCAACATTGACTTGAAGGGACATGGAAAGCATGGTGGCTTTGAGACTGTGCACTGTGAAATTGAGGGGCGGTACCTCTGGTGGTGAGGACGCCCAAGGCATGAGGAGAAAGTGCCTCAACCACCTCAGCGCCTCAGCATAGCTCATAGCTTGCAGGGGGAACATGAAACTTTCGCCTTGCACTGCTGGAAGTAAGAACGATGGAAGCCACGATTCTGTGTGGTTTCGAACATGCATTGTAACAAGCCTGTCAAGGGCATGCAGGTATTTGCTGACCCAAGAATGCGTTCCGCGAGACAGAATGCCTGACGCAAGGATGCCCCAGGGCTGCCCGGTGTGACATGTTTTGGTCGCATAACACGTACCACGAAGGACATGCAAATCAAAAGATAATGAACTCCACTCCACGCGTTGAAGATCTGCAAATCGCAATGAACCCCAGGCAGCAACCAAAAAACCACCAAGCACAACCACTTCAAGAAGTGACGCCTGCTTCATCAAGATGCGCCTCTCCCACAGCTGAAGCACCCAAGTGGGTAGTGGGAAACTCTCACGGCGTTCACGAGGAATTTTTGACTTCAGAAAAGAATCTATCACTTTTTCATACGCGCACGATAAGATTGTACATTCTGCGACTTTGCATAACCAACGAAGTGCTTTGATTGTCATGCAACAGCTTGAACCCAGAGTAGGGTCTCCATGCTTCTCAAGGGACATGGTGACTAGTATGTCTGCCATCATAACACTGTCAAGATTGCCAAAACAGAGGCCTAACCCTTCAAGGTTTCGCCACAAAATGTGACCAAGCTGCCAGGTAACGTAGCACCGTGTTCGTGGCATACCCTGAAAGAATCCGCGAGGTGTGATGACTGGCAAATTCGGAGCACTGGATCTGCTTGAACAATCCACTACAATCACCCATAAAAGCAAGAACGCCCCAAAATAGTGACAAAGCCATCTGGGAGAAACCTGCAATCTGCTGGAACTTGGGATGGTGGGGATCGGCTGCCTTTGCGGGCTTTCGCTTCGAGACAGCTTTCAACAGGAGAGATGAAGTACTTTGCTGCTGTTGGTTGGACTCTAAGGAAAACTGCCGAAACCTGGCAAAGTGCCTGGCTGATTCTTCTTCAGCATCGGAATCACAATCGCTCTTGCTGGACGTCGCAGCAGGAACAGGCAGAGGTTGCCCGGCATGTGGAACTGGCTCAATGCGTCGTCCCTGGGAGTACAAAGGTTGGGCAAGACCTGCCGCCGGCAAAGGGGGAGCGGTTCCTTTAGGTTTGTCAACTGGTAGCGCAAGCCCCCCCAGGGGTGGTGGTGCACACTTGCTCTTGGCTTTACTGAAATGCTTATCATCAGGATCCGTCGGGCGTTTCATCCTACAACCTTCTAGTCTTCAATCAAGCTTTGCCAAAAACCTGGAGGCCTTGGGAAGCTGGTCTGAACTGCACGCACAAGAAAGCTGAAGCAACTCTCAAGGTGCAAGAGTCGAACCGAAAGGCAGCCGATGCTAGTGGTGCCAGTATGGCCACGCAGATCCCGACGGACCCTCTGATCTTCCTGCTCAATACGATGCACACGCTCTTCTAAGACTGCAATGTGTGTATGAAGGGCTTCCAACTGGCTCTGCAACTCTCGAACTCGAAGCTGCAATTGCTCTGCAGAGGCGTCAGGCCCAGCACTCGATACTTCCATGCACTCACTTTGGAGTGAGCCCGCTCCCCCCGGAGAGTTGTGCACAAATACGACCATGCTGAATGTCAAGGTTGTACAAAAATAGACACAGCACTTTGAGAAAACATGGATAAGAAGACATTCCATGAAGAAAGCATGCGAAACTTGACTTTCTCGCTAGCAAGCACCACTCTTGAGCCAAAAATGTCGCACGAACATAGTTTATAAAACATACATGAACAAGTACATGATACGCGCCGACAAACAGCAGCCACTCTCGCGGTTTCCCTCAGGGATGGGAGGGCAACCCTATAATTCTCAACTCCAGGAGCGACATGAGGGAGGCGAGTATAGCAACAGCCCCAATTCGACTGGTGTTGCCGCCAGAGGTACACTTGTGGAGGCTCGGAGAGGCCTTTGCGCGGTTCAATAATTAACCACAGGCTCAAGCACACAGTGCACGCCTCAAAGAGGATACAACGCAATGCGTCCAATGGGCAATCGTTAAGGTGTCTATCACTGTGCCTGGAGGCGGGCCTACCGTAGGCCGACGCAAGGCTCGACTGCGAGAGACAATCACAAGCAAGCGGAGCGAGACGTTCCATCTAGAATGCAAAACCGCGAAAGCAGTGTGGAACTGAAACGGGACCCCCATGCTTCCAAGGCCAAGCATTAGTGAAGGAGCGGGATCCCTACTGCATTTTCAGAAGTATGTTTGCATTCGGAGCAAAAGCTCGGCGTACCGCCGACGTAGGACTCGCAATTGTCCCTTGCGAGTCGGCCAGGACAAAAGATCGACACTCGAGGTGCCCACTGCGTTCTCTCATCGCTTGCACGCATTTGACCATCAATAGGGACACAGGCCAGCTACCGGAAGCCAAAACAGGGCAAGGTAGGTCATTCCAATCGCTTGGGTTGAGGAGCTGCAGGTGCCAGGACGGCCAGCCAACAGTGACGGGTGGATGCGCAGCCCTTACAGCCAGGAGATCATTGTAGGCATATACAGTGAACGGTGTGCCCACCGGCCAATCTACCAGGGCACAGCACGGAGGGACAGGTAGGTGGCTTAGCTGCGAGACAGCGAAGACCCCAAGGAGATCTGGCTGCAGGCGGTTCGGGCACAAAGCACATAAGGCAGGGAAAAGTTGAGTGGTAAGTTGAAGAGGGGTGATGAGCCCAGAGGTGGAAACGACCCCTCGTTGGAAACAGCCCGGGGCTGGAACCAGGCTGCTGCTGGAAAACACCCAGGCCCGGAACATGCCGAGAATATTTTTCACAAGCTTCTGCCTGGAACACACCCTTTGCTGGACAATGCCTCGAGCTGGAAGAAGCCCCAGGCTAGAAAACGCCCTGGGCTGGAACCAGCCAGGGGCTGGAAAACGCCCTGGCTGGAACAAGCCCTCGGCTGGAACAAAGCCTTCTGTCTTGCGAAACCATGCAAAAGCCACAATCTCTGTCCTTTCAAGTTTTGGACGACAAAAAGCAACACCAGCAAGCAGGCGTTGCGGTTATACAATACTGTCAAAACTGCTCTACCCCAACTGCAAGAGTTGATACAACACGTTCTTTTGATCTGGAGGGCTTTGCTCTTTCAGGTTTGGGATGAAAAGAAGCAAAACCAGCAGACACTGCTCTTTCAGAATTGCCAGCATACCACAATACTGTCAAAACCCCTCTGCCCCAACTGCAAAAATTGATAAAGCACGATTTTTTTTGATCTCGGAGGCTTTGTTCTTTAGGTTTTGGATGACAAGAAGCAACACCACCAAACGTTGATGTTTCAAACTTCTGCCAGCATACCACAATACTGTCAATACATCATGCCCTTTGGGATCCTTAAAGGCTTTGTTCCTTCAGGTCTAGGACGACAAGAAGCAGGTATTGCGCTTTCAAAATTCAGCCAGCATACCACAATACTGTCAAAACTGCTTTACCCCAACTGCAAGAGTTGATACAACACGTTCTTTTGATCTGGAGGGCTTTGCTCTTTCAGGTTTAGGATGAAAAGAAGCAAAACCAGCAGACACTGCTCTTTCAGAATTGCCAGCATACCACAATACTGTCAAAACCCCTCTGCCCCAACTGCTAAAATTGATAAAGCACGATTTTTTTTGATCTCGGAGGCTTTGTTCTTTAGGTTTTGGATGACAAGAAGCAACACCACCAAACGTTGATGTTTCAAACTTCTGCCAGCATACCACAATACTGTCAATACATCATGCCCTTTGGGATCCTTAAAGGCTTTGTTCCTTCAGGTCTAGGACGACAAGAAGCAGGTATTGCGCTTTCAAAATTCAGCCAGCATACCACAATACTGTCAAAACTGCTCTACCCCAACTGCAAGAATTGATACAACACGTTCTTTTGATCTGGAGGGCTTTGCTCTTTCAGGTTTAGGATGAAAAGAAGCAAAACCAGCAGACACTGCTCTTTCAGAATTGCCAGCATACCACAATACTGTCAAAACCCCTCTGCCCCAACTGCAAAAATTGATAAAGCACGATTTTTTTGATCTCGGAGGCACCACCAAACGTTGATGTTTCAAACTTCTGCCAGCATACCACAATACTGTCAATACATCATGCCCTTTGGGATCCTTAAAGGCTTTGTTCCTTCAGGTCTAGGACGACAAGAAGCAGGTATTGCGCTTTCAAAATTCAGCCAGCATACCACAATACTGTCAAAACTGCTCTACCCCAACTGCAAGAGTTGATACAACACGTTCTTTTGATCTGGAGGGCTTTGCTCTTTCAGGTTTAGGATGAAAAGAAGCAAAACCAGCAGACACTGCTCTTTCAGAATTGCCTCTGCCCCAACTGCAAAAATTGATAAAGCACGATTTTTTTTGATCTCGGAGGCTTTGTTCTTTAGGTTTTGGATGACAAGAAGCAACACCACCAAACGTTGATGTTTCAAACTTCTGCCAGCATACCACAATACTGTCAATACATCATGCCCTTTGGGATCCTTAAAGGCTTTGTTCCTTCAGGTCTAGGACGACAAGAAGCAGGTATTGCGCTTTCAAAATTCAGCCAGCATACCACAATACTGTCAAAACTGCTCTACCCCAACTGCAAGAGTTGATACAACACGTTCTTTTGATCTGGAGGGCTTTGCTCTTTCAGGTTTAGGATGAAAAGAAGCAAAACCAGCAGACACTGCTCTTTCAGAATTGCCAGCATACCACAATACTGTCAAAACCCCTCTGCCCCAACTGCAAAAATTGATAAAGCACGATTTTTTTTGATCTCGGAGGCTTTGTTCTTTAGGTTTTGGATGACAAGAAGCAACACCACCAAACGTTGATGTTTCAAACTTCTGCCAGCATACCACAATTCTGTCAATACATCATGCCCTTTGGGATCCTTAAAGGCTTTGTTCCTTCAGGTCTAGGACGACAAGAAGCAGGTATTGCGCTTTCAAAATTCAGCCAGCATACCACAATACTGTCAAAACTGCTTTACCCCAACTGC